ATCCTTATCATAAAAATAAAAATTACTTTTGGGGAAGGACTATTCTGTTTTTGATGAAGAACAAACATTTTTTCATGTAATTAGAAAGTAAAAAAGTGCTCATAATTCATTGCTAGAGTTTACATTTGATATGTCATTGAGAAATTTTTATTTATCAAATGTGAATGCCGATACATTTAGAGTATGAACATTTTAAATTTAAATGTATAATCAAACTAACATCTCAACAACACAAACCTAACGAAACCGAGAGTGATCTAATTTGATTCCAGATAAGCTTAGATTAAGCACTTGAAGTATTGTTGAAGGATTTGATGCATTAATTGGAAGGATAAATGATCTTAAAATTATGCATGTTTATAGTCAGATCGAGCATCTCAGCAAGATGAATCCAATGAGTATAAAATCATTCAATTTTGATGTCACCAAGGAACTTAAATGTTAAAAATACATGTGATCAAGGAAATCAATACAGACCACCTGATGAAGTGTTTTTGCAACCAAATTTATTAAAATGATCATTTCAAAAACTATAAATAAATCTTTATTCTTCACTTAAAAAAGGAAAAAAGAGAAAAAAGTGAGCTGGCTACTAAACCTTGACTCTTGAAGTCTCAATGGTTATCGTTGATTACCAAAGTTTTTCACTGACCACCAAAAGTTTGTCGCCGGAGACCAAAAGTCGCCATTGACTACCACCAATAATTTTCTAAGACCAACTATGACCATTATATCAACCAACTACAACTCTTGTAAACAACCAATGCTGCTGTAGCCACTAATATCATATTGTAACCTCATCTATCCTAATACAAGAGTAGAGTGAACCTCTGTAATTTTAATTTTCAAGTGGATTACTTTAACTAGACCAGACCCTTTAGTTTTTTACCTTTTCAAAGTTTTTTCAAGTAAAAAAAATTGTTGACTTTTAAATCTCTAGCTTTGTGTGTGTTGGAAAATTATGTTAAGCGAAGACATAAGATATATCTGTCGTTGAGAATTTTCTAAAACACAATAACTTGAGGTAATCTGTTAGAAATAAAATCCCACTCCCACCTTTATAGAAGTGTGAATCATCTTTTAATGGCTAAAATGTGTAATGCTTGTAACCATGGAGTCTCACTATAATATCAACTATCCCAGGGAGCAATCTTATAGTTAAGTACGACAAGCCTCTATATCTTTTCTTCTTGATAAGCATCGCCTTGCTATTGAAGGTGCATTTTCTTCATCCATAAAAGATCGCATGTGGAGAATGGAGAGATCTTAAAATGAGATTCTTCAGCTTCTACGTGAAATTCAACAACTTGTATTAATGTAAATGAGTTAGGTTTATCTACACCAAGATAAAGCACCAATTAAGTATGCTCAACTTTAGAATGCTTCTCTAGTGCCCCCACATCATATTGGAATTCCTCCTTAACTAGTACAAAAAAGTTAACCTCATGAATATTGTTATATCTATAAATGCATCTTGTGCGGCCAAACCAAATTAAATACCTCCAACACTCAAAAAGTATTTGACTCAGCCCCATTATGTAAATTGCAATGAGCCATGATGCATGGTTTAAGAAATGTTCTCTCTGAGATAAAATAATCTATCATTAAAGTAAGCTTTTTTTATTATTGAATTTTTTATAAATATTATTTATTTATTATAACACCCTTTGAGGGCAAGTGACATATATATTCTTTGCTTATACTTCTAAAATACATGCCCATGAATTTTTTTTGATGTGAAGCTAGTAGTAGACATGAGTCTCTCTAGAAAGGCCTCTTGAGGTAATGTGGTAAATTGAATCCTCACCTATCACTGAGAAACAAACTCATGAGGTAGTCTCAATGCGAAGCTAGTTGTAGACACATTTTTCACTAAGAAAAATCCCTTGAAGGCAAGTGGCAGATAACTTATAAACCTGCAAAACACACTCTTGAGGTAATCTCAATGACAAATTTGTGGCAGATACAATCCTCACTAAAAAAATTCTTGAGAGCAAGTGGCCAACACAATCTCTAATTATACGCCTAAAAACACACCCATGTGGTAGACACGACGAACATAATCCTTAATACAAAGACCTCTGGAGGGAAAATGACAGACATAATCTTTACTTACACCTTAAGAAGACACGCCAAAGAGATAGCCTTGCAGGAAGCTAATAGTGGACACAATTTTCACTAGAAAAAGTCCTCAAGGAAAAGTGATACACACAATCTTCACTTATATCCTAGAAGACATACTCGTGAGGTAGTCTTGACAAGAAGCCCGTAATAGACAAAATATTCGCTAGAAAGACCTCTTGAGGGCAAGTGGAAGATAAGGTATCCACTTATACCCCAAAAAGTATGC